TGTAAGTTTCAAAAGAGAAAATGAAACTTCTCCATTTTTTCCACATTATGTAGGATATAGGACATTGGTGGCGAACCTACGGCACGGGTGCCAGAGGCGGCACTCGGAGCCCTTGCCTCCGCTCGTGACCCCCTCCTCACCAGCAACCCCCCTGGAGGAGAGTCGCCCCCGAGCGTGGCGCACGTGGAGCAGCGCAGCTAAGGACATGGCAGCCAGGCAGCATAGACAAGACTCTGCCCTCACGCCCCAATGCGCACAGTTGATGCTGCGGGCCGCAGGCAGAGAGCGTGGCTGCCATGGCACTGCTGGGCTGCCTGGGTGATCTGCAGGGGCGGGGCCAGTTTTTGGGCACTCGGTCTCTAAAAGGTTCGCCATCACTGATATAGGATATACGTAGGTGGATTGCCTCGGTACAGGTAAGTTGAAAAGCACATGTGGTGCATGACAAGATCAGCCTGCATCACAGGAACTGATAAGCGAAACTAAATGGTGACATATCATAAAAACAAAGGGATGTGAATGGAACAACATCTGGGAGAAAAAACTATGAGACTTCACTATGAGAACCTCATGTATAAGCCTTGCTCATTGCACAGAGAGGAAAATAAAACAATTTATCCTCCTATCAGCAAGCCATTATTTTCCCTCTTGTCTCAATTAAGCTATTTTTTGGCAGCATGGAACAAAAATCTGGTATGAGCTGATTTCAGGGAAGTTGGACATTTATCCATACATGAAAGTTGCAAGCAAGTCTTATATGGCTTGCCACAGCATGCTTCTCAAGTCTGTTTTCAGAATATAAATCACATGCTTGATGCTCTTAAGAGGGGGGAAAAACTATTTTTGTGCTTGTTTCTCTTTGCCTGTTCCCACTTTGGGGTTGTTTCCACCAAGACCTGTCTCTTTAAGAGAGGAATCTGCAGATAATTTCTATCTTTAGATTTCCTTCTCAGGAACTTTTTAAAAATTCAGATTGTGCAAATTCTGCCAGTCTGCTGGAAAACACCACTGTTCTCAAAAGCAAAAGTCATCATTTCTAAGCAGAAATATGAAGCTAAGAACATAATTTTGCTCCAACCGTATAATCAGGCAACCCACAATCCTGATTATGGAATTTTTCCTGCTGCTTTCCTCAAAGGAAAGCATAAAACACAACTACAACAATAAAGATTCTTCATAAAAGACCTGCCATGCTATTCCTGATCACAGAATAACCAGCCTATGAAAGTACTATGTATATGGAGATTCTCAATCATCCAGTCATGGTTGTCCCAAAGCTGCTTTTCCAAAAGGCAACTGGACTTTGTTGGGGGGTTTTTTCCTTGAAAACATTTCACTTCTCATCCAAGAAGCTTCTTCAGTTCTAACTGACTGGTGGGGAATGGAAGGATTTATATTCTTTGCAGTCATCTGGTCATTAGCACTCAAGCAGACTCTCAAGAGAGTTTACGAAGCATTTTGAAAATAAATACCCACATTTGAGGTTGTTTTGCTTTGCAGCATTCTTGTTCATTTTTAATATTTTTAAAAAATCAAGTTGGATATCAGGCTGTCTGCAAATACATCAGCAGTCACTGTGAATTAGTTGGAGGTCTTAAGACTTAGTCAAGCAGTGGATTCACTGATTTTTTTCTAGAGGTGTTGGCCATTGGAGTTTGTCAGAATTGAAATTCATCTAGAGATCTGAACTAAGAAGTATATATAAGTGACATATAGGTGTATTTCTTTCTTTTTCTGTTTTTTGAGGGTTAGAACCCCTGAATAAACAAGTGGAAGTGATTCAAAATGGATGAAGAGGAACTAATTAAGCAGATACACAAACTGGGGCTACATCTGGTTGAAAGTATATATAAGAAAACAGAGTTTTAGAAATTTACTCCTATTTAAAGCTGAGTCCATACTTCTGTCCTTTGTTCCTGTCCATTCTAATCATGAACAGTTTGGAGGGTAATGTATTTTATTTAAAGAGAATGGGTGACTAAGAACCATATCAAGGCATATTCACAGGGAGCTTCCATACACATAGTGACTTTCATCAACTTTTAGAATGAATGAAATAAACATAATTCTGGAAAAGATACTTTGGGCCACAGTGTTTCTTTTTCCAATTTAGTTACTTACTTTAAAGTGTGTATTTTATGCCTTTTAAAAGGCAGAAAGCTTAGAGGGGCAACGATAGTTTAAAAAAATAGTACAAAGCATCTTGGTACTAATGGGCACCATGCTAAGGCTCCCCTCACTGCCTAAATATACAGCAATTATGCTGTTAAATTTATTTATTAAATTTATATGCTGTCCATCTCACTATCCAAAGCAACTGTGTTAAAAAATTAACATTACATCTAAGCCCAGCTATTTGGCTAGAAACAAAATTTGCCAAGGAGAGCATTAAAGTATGCAACAACAATAGACACTGTCAAGCCAATAAGGCTCTGGCAGTTGCCCCCAAATACTGTGGATGCTTAAATTAGTTCATGATCGTCCCCCCCACACACACACACATTCCAGTTCATGCCATTAACTTCAGGACCCTACAATAAAGATATTATATGGCTGAGGTTTTCAGCACACTTTCTTAGGAGTTGTTAAGTCTGAAACTGAAGAACAGTTCCATTTGAGGCCTACTGGATCAGAATGATAGGCTGATATGTCAATCATGCCATCTACTTGAAGAAGAAATAGCTACAAAGAACTGTTGTGTAAAAGTGCATCTTGTTTTATGGATATTTTGTAAAATAGGATTAGCAGCTTACTTCTCCCTCAATTATTCACGTACTAAGCTATCAGGAATCCTTTGGCTCTATCTTGCTATGCAGGACATAGAAGAAAGCAAAACAAATTTGAAAACAACAACAACAACACAAGATAGACCATTCTTCAATGTTGTTTCTTCTCTAGCATCAAGACCCACATTCGTGATCACCATTCTCCAAAAGAGAAAAGGGGGGGGGAGGAGAAGAAACAACATGAAACACATTTTCCAGCCTACACTCCCTCAGCCCTTTCCTCCCACACCAATCACACAGGAATAAAATGGTTGCTATATACGCCTCTCTTTCAGAATTTTCTTAGTGCACCATGACATCAGCGTTGGAGATACAGCCAAGTTTAGAACTCCATCTGGGACAAATAACGCTGGGTTGGATTGTGCTGCCTTTTGTTTATACACAGTGACTGAGAATGTCTTGGTGGTAAGCAATCTTGCTCATAAGATTTATTTCTCAACTCTTCCAAAACTTTTTTTTTTCTTTTTACATCCTGGAAATACTTTCAGACTCATGTTAATTTTCAAAATGGTGAATTAAAATGGGTATTTCCCCCTTCTCTGTCTTCCTGCTTCATCTCCAAAAGTAATTCATTGTTCTGAAAGTTGTAATTAGCCTTTAAGATGAAACACTTTCTTGAAAACTAAAAAGTGCTGTTGCAAACAAGGAAAATTAAAGGCCCATTCTTGCATTCTTCCCAGCTAAACTTTAATTGAAGAGATTCTAGAGTCCACCTGGGAATTTGACTAAGAATACTCTGAGCAGGTATGAATTATCTGTTTTCAAAACTTTGTAGATAAGGAATATACAATTCCTGCCTTAATCCTCTTGCCTGACCATCAAAACGTACAAATTACAGTTGCTCCCAATGAATGCTTTGCTCAAACTCAAAAAGTTTTCCAACACAAAAAAACCAAATATAAAAATGAGGAACTTGCCCCTTCTTTTTATGCTATTTTTCAATATGCAGGTATCACTCAGTACAGAACAGATCTTCATTTATGGATTCACATGGCACATCAATAAAAAAATAGTTGCTGCTGCTGCTAGTGTTTCTGTGATTAGTTTTTCAATTTACAAAAAAAAGTTTTGTTCATACTTTTCATAAGAAGTTGGGTAATTACCATGCGAGCAGAAAATGATAGGAAGGAAGGAAGGAAGGAAGGAAGGAAGGAAGGAAGGAAGGAAGGAAGGAAGGAAGGAAGGAAAACAACAGTCCAAGTCATAACATCTCAAGTATTATTACACTAAAAAAAGACTGAAGAACATGCTACCTTTAAATGGAGTAGTTTGAGTCTTATTCATGTTATCGCTATATCAAAAACTTCAACAGTTTCTGAATTAGTTGATGATTATGCAATCAACCAATATTCTGATCAGGGATTTTGAAGCTTGACTCAATGAATATGTCATCTTTGATCTTCTCTATGTAATGAGAAATGACCATCTGCCATTGTCTAACTAGAAAATTGCTTGTTGTTAGAGAGAAAATGTGATACAGATTACTTAAATTCCAGACACAGCCATGAGTCACCCAATTTTTTAATTAGTTTTGTCCTCAGTGTTTATATCTCCCTAGACAAGTTGGCCATTTAGACTTTTGAGGAAACTCAACATGATGAATCCATTAGATAAATGGTCGTGCTGAACAAGAGTCTTCAAGGATGGGGACCAAATAGGCAAGATGGCAGTTGTGCTATTGAGATCAAAGCCTCACCCCTTTGCCACATATATAAAAGGGGTGGAGTTTCAATTCAAGTCTCTTGGCTATGAGACTTTCTGGGGAATCTTGCATTACATAGTCTTCAACCCTATCACAGAACAAAGTAAATTAGTGAAAGGCATTAAAAATAATACTAAAGTTCTCTCTCTCTTCTTTCTCAAGAATTAGTTCCATTTTAAGGCCTGGTAGCACAGTGGTTAAAGTGCAGTATTGCAAGCAAACTCTGCCCGCAGCCATGAGTTCGATCCTGACAAAGCTCAAAGTTGACTCAGCCTTCCATTCTTAACCAGGTCAGTAAAATGAGGATCCAAATTGTTGGAGGCAATATGCAAATAATGCTTACATTGTAAATCGCCCAGAAAGTGTTGTATTTAGGTATGTAAGCCTAAATACTATTATTATTTCTATTATACCATGGACCTTAATTCTAAGTAAACATATAAACCATCAGTACACAAGTCACAAATAGCAGAAATATACATTCCAAGCCACCACCACCAGACTATACTGACCTGCTGTGTTCCATCTCCATTGACTAAGTGAGGCATCATGGCCACTTCCCCATTCAGCAGTGATGGCAACTCCAGTGGGATTTGGTCGGTCATCATCATTGTGACGTACATTCATGGAGAATTTTCCTCTACGGGCTTCCTAAAAGAAATAAAATTTACAGTGGATAATGTGATTTTTCTTTCTTTCTTTCTTTCTTTTTTTTATTTTCATCAGAACTTTTAAAAATGCAAACATTTGCTGCCATATTGAATAGCTGATACTAATCTATTAACAGCTGATAGATATTATGCCTTGTTACCATAGACCACAGCAATGCATAGAAATTATGTTAGTAATAATCCCATATTTATGAAATGTGACTTTTTAAGAGTTGCTTCTCTGGACTGAGGAGAAATGCAAGTTGATTTAATAAAAATAAATAAATGGTATTATTTATCAAACAGAAAAAACTGAGCACCTATACTTGTACTTTTCCGCAGTGGCCACCATGTTTACCACCCATTTATTCTTTAAATTAATTTTTCAATTAAGCAGCATTCTAAAGCTCTATAAAACTATATCAAATCTTTAATAAATATGCATACCAATCTTTCTCACTACTAACTTGCAAGGAATGAATACAAACAGAGAAAAACTACCTAGCAAAGCCCCACTCTGAATTTGCAGGTTAGATTGAAAATAAGATCTTCTTTAAGTCAAATGCTACTGCAGGCAATGCCACGGATACCCAGACAGCTTTTTTTGTCATCTCAAGTCTATATGGTCTACTAGCTTGCATTCAGAACCATTCAGGTGAGAAATATAAACTACAGTACTATTTGCAAGATAAATTAGGCAGGGGGGAACAAATTACAATCAACATGGTAGTCTCAGATGCAAAATGTACACAAGCTTTAGCCAAGCCATAACCAAGAAATTAGTGTTCACAGATACACTGGCAATAGTAACAGTTAGATTCAAAAAAGGCTCCTGGTCACAAAAATCTACTTCAGAGAAAACATATTGGTCCCAGACCAGTACGCATTCATCCAACACTGAAGCAAGAACTGGGTGGAGATGGCCAATATTACAAAATGAAGAAAATTATATAATTTTGGGTGCAGATAGAAGACAAACATTTCAGAACTAAATATTCTAGTGCTGTAGAATGGACTTAGATTTTTCTATATTTACATTTGGAAGCAACCAATCTTTTTCTAACATAGAATACAACAGGTATTTCCTTCTGATAAAGTCAGATTCACACAAACTATCTATCAAATGCCCATAAAAAGACTGATGTCATTTTACATGCACTACTTATTTCATCTATAATTCTCCACTTTTATGAGTACCAAGAAAAAAAAAGAGTCTATCTAGATTCCCTTATTTTGCTCAGACAAGACCTTGCTTTAAATTATGGGTTTTGTTTTTATATTTAAGAATTATTTTACTTTTGACATGCTGAAAGATTAATTCTAGGGGTTGGTGTGGAAACACATGTTTCTATTGTTTACCTATAGCTTATAAAAATACATATGGCACTTTCTCACAGCAACTTCAAGAGTATTTTGGCCTGTTATCATAACCCATCAATCATTGCAAAGACCCCCATAAATACAGGCCGCTTTCATCTGAACAGTCAGTCACTCAAAATCAGTGGTATTCCCTATTCACCTCAAGCACACTTGTAAAAGTTTGTTAAGAAGACTCTAAGAGATTGAAAGATAGTATACATGCATTAAATGTATCCTATGGGATACAAATGGAACTAAAACAAAACCCATATTGTACAGAGCTATGCCTGATAAAGTTCAACATTCCAAAGCAGTAATTTTTAAAATTCTAATACAATCATAACCATTTATGAAAGTAAGAAACCCATAAGGGACTGAGGTAGCATTATTGTTCAGTTCTCAAGCCAAAGCCAGGCCTTATCAAGCTAAGCATAAGTAACAAACATAATTAAGGATGCAGAACGGTACCTGAATTTCTACAGCAAATGTCATTTTCCGTTATACTTTTTAAGCAGCAGTGAAGCAAAAGGAACCTTGTGCAAACTAAAACACAGGGACTGCACATCACTTATTCAAAGATCAATACAAGTGTAATGCTTTAATCTCTGGTTTAGAATTTAAATAAATATCCTGATCTTGGGAGGAACTATAGGAAGAGCTCCTCAATTGTGGTTCACCTTTCTTCTAATTCAGACTCCCTAAATTCTGGAAATTTATTTTATTTGTTAAAACTTTATTTGTTAAATTTATTTGCCACCTATCTCACCATGCGGCTACCCTACAACAATAAAAAAGGAAGAAATGAAAAGGCTGCAAACAAAAAAGGTAAAGTAATAGAACAATAAAATAAACAAGGAAAAAGAATACAATGAGAATACATCAACATGGGAACAAAAAGATGGACGGGTGGAGAGCAGAGAGCAAAGGGGGAGGTGGAAACTGCCATCAATCCAATAGCCACCTCCAGTGTGGAACTCTCTCATTGTGTCCCCTAGAGCAGTGGTTCTCAAACTTTTCTTCACCATGGGCCCTCTTTAAATAATCTTTTGTGGCCACAGAACATGGCCGTGGACCCCCAAGACTTAACTCAAGATTTAAATCATAACATTTCTTCAAGCCTTCACAGATCCCCTATGACGACACCACTTCTCCCCAAGGGTCTGCGGACTATAGGTTGAGAACCACTGCCTTAGAGGAATATCAGACAGAATATTAAATAGAATAGAGAAATATAAAATAGAGGGGATTCCATAACATTTTCTCAATCTATGAAGTGAGGGTAAGCATGAAACATTTGGGATGTCAGAATCATCTTAAGTCAGTCCTTGAGCAATGTCACTCTCAACATCATCAAAATAGATGTCAGATTGACAATGGTCCATGCCTCCCAACCTGGGCAACTTTAGGGTTTAAGACTTCAACTCCCAGAATCTATTGATCTGGACAGTATGTGCAGCAAGTATTCCTTCCTTCTGAAGCTCATGGGGAGTAGCAAAGCAACAGGCCTTCTCAATTGAGGTTCTCATTTTACAGAACACTCTTGCTCTGGACATACAGATAGACACTATTCTACAGGCATTTCAGAAACTATTGAAAATAGTGTTGTTCCAGAGGATGCCTGGTCTTTATTTGGTCTAATTGAAAGGCATCTATAATGTGGCAGAAATCTATTCATGATTTTTATTGTCTTGTTTTTTCTTTTGACATTGTTGTTGGGCCAGGCACCTTATAAATACTGTAAAATAAAATATATCATTTATGTATATCCAAAAAGGTATTACTTAATTAGATCTTTTTTTTAAAAAAAAAAGTGAAGGGTTAATAACACATAATTTGGTTTCATATAGCAAAAGGTAGTCAACAGTAATTCTAAGTAAAAGCATCTTTTTAAGTCATCTATCAGCTGAATTGCAATAAAAGCTGCAATTTTGCTCAAGATTGAAGCAAATTTTTAATATTACAATGCATTTAAATTTTCTAGGAAAAAACCCCACCCGTCTAATATTAACATGTTAGGAAAATATTTTTTTCTCAATCTTCCTTTTGTTTTCTAATGGCAAAATACCTATACATTTTATTATTATTTTATATATGTGTCTGTGTGTACGTCACTTAACTGAGATGGGTGGTGTAGAAATGTATTTGTGTGTGCATCTATCCGTTCATCCGTTCATCCATCCATCCACCATCCCACATTACTGTCTTTGGGGGATTAAAGGCAGCTATGGTTAAAAAATAAAGCACACACTTCCAAAGTCTGAAAAGGCCTAGCTGAAGAGCAATTTAGATTTCAGTTTAACTTATAACCAAATGCATCTTTGCTAGAGTGTAATGTTTATTTGAACTGGATGGAAATTACTGCTGAATTCATACACAGAATCACAAGTACAAGAGAAGGTTGAGTTGAACTCCATTCCTTGATACTTCATCCATGCAGTTTTCTTGGGAAGATTACAGAAACAGTTTGTCATTTCCTGCTTCCGAGATGTTATTTTGGCCTCCCAATCTGGTAAAGTAAAAAAAATGAGGTCAACTCTAATTCAATACTGGTGGCTTCATGAACACATCTCTGTAGTCTTCTGTTGCAATATATATATATATAATGTGTTGCAATATATATATATCTAATGTGCACCTCAGGTGTTCCCTGGAAATGTCCTCTCCAAGTTCAGGCCCATCTAATTTAGTGTGTGAATCCAGAAAACTTCAGCCAGACAACTGACTGAAATATCATACTGTATTGAGTTCAGGTTAACAGAAAACTGCATAAGACATTGCAGATAAAGTGAATTCTGTATCAATTCCTTCTTTCAAGAGTTGTTGCTCCCCCCCCCCCCAATATTTTATTGTAGGAATGATAGCTTTTCTCCAGAATAATGGAAAGTATCTTCGAAAGTTATATCTACTGAACAAAAAATGCACAGAAAAAATAAAATGCCAAAAACAATTAGAAAGAATTATACACCAGAGGCTGTATAATGCACCCAAATGGCCATCATTATAATTACCTGCATCAAGGGTCAGGCAATGCTAACCAAACCATAAACTTTGTTATGCCAAAGATGCAAGAAAAAAATGCAATGCAGTGCACAACAATCAAAACTGTAGATACGCATCACATCTAAAAATTTAATATTTAGTATTAATAAAAACTAAGATGATCAAAGGCCTGGAGACTAAGACATATGAAAAACGGCTTCAGGACTTGGGTTTGGCTAGTCTAAAGAAAAGAAGAAATAGGAAAGAGATGATAGCAGTATTCCAGTATTTGAGGGGCTGCCACAAAGAAGAGGGGGTCACATTATTCACCAAAGCACCAGAGGGCAGGACAAGAAAAAATGGTTGGAAACTGATCAAAGAGAAAAGCAACCTAGAATTAAGGAGAAACTTCCTGACAGTGAGGACAATTAACCAGTGGAACAGCTTGCCTCCAGAAATCGTGGGTGCTCCATCACTGGAGATTTTTAAGAAGAGGCTAGACAGTCACTTGTCTCAGATGGTATAGGTTCTCCTGCTTGAGCAGGGGTTGGACTAGAAGACCTTCAAGCAGTGGTGAGATTCAGACAGTTTGCACAAGTTCGGCAGAACCGGTAGCTAATTTTTTGTTGCCCAGGCCCAGAATGGACTTCCACACAGAG